CTTGCATAGCCTGATCCTCTCTGTTAAAATTGGAATAATATATATAATAAGAAAGATAATCCTTTCAAGTAGTGAGAGATAGTGGAAAACTATTTGCTTTTTTGGTACCACATTTGTATATCACTTAGAAGTACTTGTTCCATTTTCTATTTTAATTTTATTTCAATCTTTTTTATCCTTAATTCTCAGTTTTATCAAGTCACATCTAAATCAATGTTACAGAATTAAACCGATATTTTCTTACATATGACGGAATTTTTTTTGTACGTTTTATTAAATTAAATTACTTGTAAATAAAAAAAGCATATTGCAGTATTTTAAAAAATAATAATTTTAAAAAGAATAAATATTTTTATCATTAATAATAAATTAAAGAATAAAATTTTTGAAATTAAAAATTTTAAATTAATGGTTAAATTTAAAAAATATTTTTTTCTTCAATATCAATTTAAATTAAGATTGATTAGCATAACAATACTCTCAAAATTTAGTTTATTTGAAAAATATTTTCAATTTGATACATTTATCAAATTTTAAATTAAACTTATTTTAAAATCAAATAATTTTTTTTTCGAAAGAATAAAAATTAGCAAACACAATCAAAGACTTACTGCAAAAAAAAAAAATTTACTCAATATAATAAAAACAATAAATCTTAAAAATATTCCCATTTAAGATAATTCTTTAAAATAGATCATTTAAAAATAATAACTCAGATTTTATATAGTTACATGATTTGAGCAGAAGAAAAACACTATATCTTGCCACACTTATATTAATTATTTACTAACTGGCTATGTCTTGATTCTTGTTCCATTTGAAGTCTTTGTGAAGCTGCAACTTCGTACATAAACATCTTCCACTATATCATGAGCTTTATTTCTACTAAGACTGCGAACACTGATTATTTCATTTTCGTTAATTGAATAAAAACAATAGAAAAACAAAAATACTATTTGAATCAAAGATACGTTAATTCTCATACTTTGATTTCATCACTATTGATGGCAATATAATCATCACCTATTGAGAAAAACAATGTAAATTAAAATTGCACACATAGTAGTTTCTTAAAACACTACGTGGAATTTAATTTCATGTGCATATAAGATAAAAACTTAGTGAATTTACCAGTCCTATCATTGAATCTCTTATCAAGATATTTTTGGAAGCTGAAATGTCAAATCAATCAATGGTGGGGCTTTTACTAGGAACTTGAATATTGATTTCACAAGTATTTATAGCAATGTGAGCTCCACGGCTATCAATCATTTTCAGACCTTAAGTATGATTATTACAAGAATGAAAATGTAAGGCCTGCATCATCCACATAAAAAAAAACCAATTCAGTCACAAGATATGGAGAAGAATTAGAAACTATATATATTATGATTCGTCATGCAACTTATATCAATCCTTTGGCTACATTTAGTAGTTCTTATATGTTAATTAATATTGTGCCAGTGTTTCTTTCATTCTGCAAAGGTACATTTCAACAATCCACTTAGTTTTCTACATGTACAATTGGAGTCTTCTTTCTTAATATAAAGGGAATATTTTAAATTATGATTTTATCTTTTATCATTTTATGTTACTAATTTTAAATATTTTAAATATCATGTACAATTGCAGTAGGATTTCATTTTAAAAATAGTACTTATTATAAATATGCATATATTTATAATAATTTTTTAAAATATAATTATTTTAAAATTAATTAAAATTGACCCTAAAATTAATATTAATTTAATCAGATACAGGTTGTATTTATACGTAGCATGTTTAATTTGAAGTCAAATAGAATTAATTTTGAATCATTAAATATAATTAAGATAAATACATAAACTAATATAAATTACATATTTTTATTAGAATGTGTATTTTTTTATTAAAAATAAAATTCTACCTTCAAACCAAACAATTGGGCTTGCAGTTGAAGAAATTTAAAATTAATAAATATTAAATTAACGATCTTAAACAAGGGTCATGATTTTTGTTTCACAAATTGACAATAACCATCTGCACATGTCAAGATAGATATAATTGATGTTGATTACAAACAAGCAACAAGTAAATTCAAATAGAATAAAACAAACATTTTGAATTAGATAGATATAAAGAAAGAATAGATGAAGCAAATCAGTTTCAATTTTATTTTTTCTAAGTTTTACTTCAACAGCTAGTTAATAATAAATACAATTATGAATCAAATTTAATATAAAAGTCACTTTAATAGAAAGTAGGAGCATTGATGTCCCCCCTAAATACTAAGGTGCATGTTAGATAGTAATTAGAAAACATACTTAACATAAGGATTAGCCATAACATAGCAAATAGAAAATATGAACACAGGAACAATTTATCTTGCATTAGGCAGCACTAGATGAATTTTAAGGAACAAACGAATTCTTATGACTTCCTCAAGGTTTGTGGTGTAACCATTACAATGGCCAAAACTAACTTCAATAGATGCACTTGCATCAATAGAATTCAATGAAGTTGTCTCATCATCTCAAATATCTCTACTTGCATTAACTAACATTGGTTAATCTCTAGCCAATTGAAGTGAATCATTAGTTTAATTCTGACAACTTAGTGCAACAAAAGCATTAAAGAAAGAAAAATTTTGTTATTCTGCATTATTTAGCCATTATATTTGAAATTGTATAATGAAAAGCATGATAAACAAAATTTGAACATGTAGACAAAATAATCAATCGATGTTTGAAATGCCTTATTTCATTTTAGAGTTCGTCGGATTTGTTTGATGTAGTAGCACACATTGACATATTACTATATTATTATTATTACTTAATTAGTTAAATTTCATTAGAAGCTCAATTATTTATAGTTTTAGATAATATGCTTTGTCATTAGCAAAATAACATTTCAAGATTCACTGTGTTAAGGGAATTTATTGTTGTGACAAGATTTAAAGTCTCTTTGACCCCAAACAATTAGAAATTTGATTCATAATACTCTCATTTTTCTCATAAAAAAGGTCCAATTTTAACCTAAAACAGAGTAACACTGTGCATTCTCTATGTTGTAATCCCAAAAACCTTATCATGAATAACACAAAACAATTTGATAACCAAGTGAACTAAAAGAAAGGTCACTCAGTGGAAAAAAGCAAGATCAGAAGAGAAAAAAAAAAAACAAGGACTAAGGAAAAAGGATAACCTGCATATTTTTTCTTGTAAAGTCCCAATAGCACATTGGTGGCAGCATTCGATTCACTTTCTTCAATTTTGCCTGCCAAAGAGTAGTTTCTATTAGAACCTTTCAATTACCCAACACAAACAAGTCTTGAAATGGATAATAAAAAGAACTATATTCAATATGACCCCAACGCAAAATTTGCCTATACCAACAACTTAACTATTATAATATTAGTAAATTGGGCTAGATTCAAGGATTTGAAGAGCTGTTTGGTGCAAAACGAAAGCTAAAAATATCTAATTATGATATAAGTACTCATAACATACCTTTAGGTCCCTTTTGCCTTTCTTTGTAGAAAATATATACATTGACAAACAACTACTAGATATTTAGCTGCTTTTATATATTTCATTTACTAAGTTGAATACTAGTTATCTGAATAATGTACTAGTATCAACTCTGTACTATCCTAAATCACTAATAAGGAGATCTAAATTATAAATATTAAATTACATGATATAATAGGAGAATTTTCTTTCTTGATTATAAATCTTAAAATACTAGGATTTTAGAAGAGAAAAACATGGATACTAGAAAGGATGATTTCTTTTCTATAATATTAATGTTAAATGTTGTCCAAAATGAGATCTATACCTTTTGTTTTGAGAACTTAAAGTGAGAGCTAGCTACTAGGTAATGTACATATGCCTCTTGCTTTTTTCACATATCTGATAATAAAATGCGAGGGATAGATCTTAAAAATATATTTATAATTTAACACTTGAGAGTCACTACGAAAGATCTAAATGATTATGCAACAAGCTAGTCACTAGAATCTGAAATCAAAACAGGAGATAAAAAAACACAGTTGTTCTATTACAAGCGATTCCCAAAACTACGAAAAACTAACAATTTTTACGAACTCTTTAATATCCAGAATTTCTTTTTCTTCTCCTTTCCATTTTTACCTATAAACACTAAAACAATGACTCTTTTCATGATAAAACTAAAATTGAAAATTTACCTTCAATTCAAAATTAAGAATGAAAATTAAAAAAATTGTAAAAAGTAAACAGAAATTGAAACTATACAAAACATCAATTTATATTATACATTTATGAAGTAGAAGGAACCCAAAGTAGTGTATATTTATTTTACATCAATAATCAATTCCTCATGCACATAAATACCTTTATAATTTGGGTCCTAATTATTAAATGAAAAAGTTTTTAGCTATTAGTTATCCTTTTTATTATGTCATGTGCTTTTTATGCATTCAACATTTAATTTGTTTTACTTCAGTCTTAATTTTAATTTTATATTAAATATTTTTAATTTTTTAAAATTTCTTTTTAATTTAATCTTATTTAATATAATAGAATATTATTATTAAAAAATAAATATTTATATATTAATATTTATAAATTTTATTAATTATAAAAAAATAATAATTTTTTAAAATAAATTTCTAATACAAATTTTATACGATCTTTCTTATAATTAAATATTTATTATTAATAATTAATTTTTTTACAAAATTTATTAAATTATATAATATTTAAATTTTAATTTAAAAAGTATATTTTTGTAATAGTATCGGTGCAAAGCAAAAAAAAAAAAGAAAAAAAAAAGAAGAACTTATTTGGCATTAAGTATATGACGGTTAAGACTCTGTTTAACAATTGAAAATAAATATGATCAGGATAATTTGTATTTATGTTTGAAAATTAACTCAAAAACTAATTAAAAGTATTTTCTTAGCAGAGCAAATACAATACACGAGGTTTACACTAAATAAATACGCATCAGAATCAGATCACTACCTTTATTATCAGTGATCAACTAAGGAATATTTGTGGGATGTGTGCGATTTGGCGACTAACGGCACTTGTCTTTCTTCGGCATTCATTAAGTAAGACGGAAGGTCCCCAGACCTCAAAGATCTTTAAATTGGTAAGACCACTCATTCCTTCGGGCAGCGATGCCAGTTTTGAGCAGTTTGAGATTGTGATATGCTGAAGCGATGAGAGGTTGCAAATCCAATCTGGCAAAGCCTTTAGCCTTCCACAAAAATTTATGCTGATTTTTCGCAGAGAAGGAAGGCAGTTGGTGTCGTCCTTAAACCCAGTTTCAAATTCTTCAAGTGTTTCACTATCACATAATTGAATTTGAAGAGACTCGAGAGAAGTCAGATTTTGCATCCAACCCTTTGGTAAATTCATAGGATCAGAAATTGACAGTCGTTCGAGCATGGAAAGAGGGGTAGCGGAGGAAGATGAGTCAGCTGAACATGTTGACGCTGTTGTGTTTAGTGTTCCTATTAATGGCTCCGCACTGCATTTGTACCATTTTAAATCCTTAACGTTTGGAAAAGTAGGCATACAAGTCAACTGTGGACATGTCGAGACAAATAGTTGAGAAAGATGAGGAAATGAAAGAGGTAAGGAGAGATTATGTGAATCATTGATATCATCTCTCGGCCTCCGCCATCCCCTGAAATTCCGACAACCTTCTAAACTGAGGCTCTCTAGAGAGGGGAAGAAGGTTACTGCAAAGCCATCTTCGCAGAGATATATATATTCCAATTCATGAAGAAACCGTATATCAAGGGACTTCAGGGACGGGAGACGTTCCAGCGGTGGGAGACAGCCACAATTAGGAAGATGATAGAGACGGATATTAACAACATTTGTGAGGAGAGAAAGCCAGCTTGGGAAAAGCACGCCTGGATAATGATTCACCGTCAATCGCTTAAGATTACCGTGGGGCTGAAGGTTTTCCAATAATTGCAAGCTGTCACTGTTACCGATGTCTTCATCCAAACAATCATCATCCGACAAATAATCCAACCAATCCAGAGTCAAGAATTGAAGGAATTTTTTTTCTTTTAAGTTTACGTAGTGTGATTCCAGAGCCACGTCTCTCACACGATTCAGATGCACAATTTCTAATTTGCCTCTTATTAGGTTTAAGTCCTTCAGTTCATTTAATGTGGCATATTTTGTTTCTTGGCTGTCTCCCACAACGAAGGTCGACAAAAATTGCAAAGAGCATAATTTTCCCAACCCAATTGCCATCCCACGCAAGGAGTCATAATCATCGATATCAAGGCACCTCAGATTGACTAATTTTGTGACTACTTCTGAAAATGATTCTTCGTCGCACTTCTTTAATTGTAATGTTTGTAGGAAAACAAGATTGCTCATGGATTTGGGAAGACTTTGTTGCGTTAAAGCAAGGTATCTTAAATGCTTCAAATGTTCAGTGGAATCAGAGAGATGATCCAACTTCAAGACACGTAAGTATTTGAACTTTGCAATAACCGACAAATATTCCTCTTCTTCGAAGCAATACGGAAAAATCAAAGTTCGCAGCCTGCTCGGATCTAATGATTTCAACAAATGAATGGCATTGTATTTCAATGATACATGCATGGGTCTACCTTCAACTTTTTCTGCCTTACCATCCAAGTAACAATAATCATTGCCAGCAACATGCATTGCAAGATCATGCATTAAATCGTGCATTTTGAAGCTAATGATCTCACCGTCCGCACGTTTCGCATCTTGAAAAAATGAGTTCATCAGAAACATCTTTACAAATTGATTACCCACATCCTCCATCTGCTGTCTTTCGGTTGAACATTTAAGGTAACCCTGTGCCATCCATAACCGAATCAACTCATCCTTTCGAATTTTTGAATCCTTGGGGTACAATGAGCAATAAGCAAAACATTGTTTCATTTCTGGCGACAAGTTGTGGTAACTGAGTTTTAGAATTGGCATAATACTATTTTGCTTTTCACATAATTTCCAAAAGTCACCAAGTAAAACATTCTCCCATTCACTTTCTTCGTTTTGTCCTCCTAAGAGGCCTCCCAGGGTTTTAACTGCCAGTGGAACCCCTTTACATTTTTTGGCTATTTCTTTCCCCATTGATTCTAGATTTTGATTCACTTCTGTGAAATCATCCTCAAATGCAATGCTCTTCAACAAACTCCAAGATGCTTCATCAGTCAAACCTTTCAAAGGATACGAAGTGCTGGCAGACATTGCCTTTGCTACATTTTCACTTCGAGTTGTTACTAAAATCTTACTATCTTGAGCGCCACACATCAAGTACTTTCTCAATTCAATCCATTTGTCACGTCTCTCATTCCATATGTCATCCAGGACCAACAAATATTTCTTACCACTTAAATTTTCACGAAGTTTTTCTTGCAAGTAGTCTAACGACGACCCATCTGCTGTCTTGGAACGAGTAACTGATTCTAATATTTTCTTCAGAACAGTTTTCACATCAAAGTTATCAGAGACACACACCCACATTTTCTTTTCAAAACAATTCTGCACTTCCAAGTCATTATACACCAACTGAGCAAGCGTTGTCTTCCCCAAGCCACCGAGGCCAAAAATAGCAATCAGAGAAACTTTTCTGTTTTCATGAGTTTGTCCCAACAGACTAATAATCTCCTTTTTACTATCATCTCTTCCAATGATATCAGATTCTAGCACAAAAGAACATGTTTCCCTCCATTCACTGTTAGTTTGCTTAACCAGAGAAGCTGGGATTAAATTCAATTTATCCATGTCTTCTACTACACCATTAAAACTTTCTCGTATTTCTTTAATTTTGTCAGGCATTTCAGTGTATAAAGGTAGTTGATTTGAAGATGAAATGGAAAGAAGTACCTTGTCTACTTCTTTTCCTTCTGCTGCACCCAATTTGTCTCTCCTGAATTGGATAGCAAGATCATCTAAGGAGTCATCTGTAGCATGGAGTACTTTTTTGAACCTTCTGATCCAAACTCGCACACCATCATCTTGATCTTGTTTATCGTCGGCACCAAGGAGCTTAGCATTGATGGATTCAATAGTGTTCTTGAGCTCTTCCAACTCTTCCGTCACTTCATAATGCTTTCCAAATTCAAGAAAATCTGCGGAAGCCAACCTGAGATTTGAATTAACAGCAAATGGAACTGACTCGGCCATCGTTAAAATGATCAAGAAAGACAACATAGAAGGGTGCTTTGTTGAGAGGAAGTTGAGCAATGTGTAAAAATATTGGCATAAGAACGGAGGAAAAGGGAAAATATATAATAATAATATACAAATTCAATTGATTGAATCATGATTTGTTCATGGCGGGCTCAGTTACAAATCCTTACCAATCATACTTTCCATGTGCACTGACACACGAGTATATTTTATTTTGTTAGTACAAATCTCATTAACACATCTAAAAGTAGATATTTATTTTTTATAATTTTAGTACAAGAGAAAAAAATATCAATTATCACTCCAAAATCTCCTTGTTTAAGATATTTTATTAAAATATTATTATTAATGTAATCCCTTAATAGAATAGGACGTAGTATATAATTCTAGGAACATTTTTCCAACGTAACATTAATTTATAACACAATTATTTTTTATTAATGTTGATTTCATAAAAATTACCATAGAAAGTAATTTATTGTATCATCGTATCATATGAATTCTCTTGTATGTACCAGTCGGTGTTCATTCTCGAATAAAAGAGTACTTAGGAATTTTTTTTTTATATTTACTTGTTTAGCATCTATTTTAATTAATGATTTTCAAAATATTAATTTAAAATCAAAATCTTTTTAAAAGAATACTTGATTAAATTTTAACAATGCAAAAAGGTTAGTCAAACAAATTTATAGTTTCAGTAGAACGGACTTTTTATTTAAATTTAATGAAAGTATAATAAAAATGTATAATCTGTGATTCATCTTTCAAAGGTTTAATTTTAGTCTTCTATATATTTATTTCATATTATATAATCAACCTTAATTTGAATAAATATTTTTTTCACAATTAATACTAAAAAAAATAATGAAATAAGTGACACGAGACACATTTTATGAGACTCATACCTAACATAGTTATATATGTTACTTATTTTATGTTTTATAAGGTTAACATATATAATGTATGAACAAGGTAATTTATATTTCTCAATTATTTTAATTCTTACAGTACCGTGATTAATTTTTATTTTAAATATCTTGATTACGTTAAGATATTAATTTTGAGATTTTAGCATGATAACAAGATTGGATAGCATGCATATAAACTTACAAAAAAAATGTAAATATTTACAACATTTTAATTACTTTACTGATGTAAATTAAAATTTTATAAAATAATATTAGTAAATAAACTTTAAATACCAAGCATTAGAAACAAATATTAAAGAAATTAGAAAGATATAACCTTTACGAAAAGAAATAATAAAAGGGTGAAAGAGATTAAAACAAAAAAACAAAATAAGAAACAGTGAAAACTATAACCAAAAGAAAAACCTAAACTGTAAGCTAAGCATGTTATGGAAGAATTAGAAAATGGATAGTTATTGTTTAAATTGAAGAAAGGGTGGGAAAAGGAACCTGTGAATGAGATTGGACGCAACAGCAAATGGAACGTTTTCCATATTCCTTAGATCTGATGAAGAAGAGAATAGATCTGAGTGTGTTCAGTTTGAGATTGGCAATGGCTGCAGCATAAACACTATTGCTCTTACATCTGCCCATCACAGGGACACAATGCTTGGTTTTATCTTCGATCTAATATTATAAATATAATAATAATTTAATCAAAAGTTGAGATTAATTATTGTGACTTGTCGGTGCTGCTTTTCTTTGCTGCCGAGTCGTCGTAGAGTTAAAAAATTATGTTCATTATTATAACTCACATTGACAGCTAATGCTGTCTCATTTTTTAGTCATCATTTATAATTATTTAATGTAGTTAAAAAAATTTAAACAACGTCTATAATTTTGAGATTATATATTAAGTTAAAATAACTTTTTTTTCAAATTGATTGAGATGCTTGGTGATAATGAATTTTTATAATTTATTACTGTTAATTTTAATATATTAATTTTTTCATTACTTGTATCATTCTTGTTATATTTCTAATACCCTGATTTGTCTGTGTACGATGCAAGCGAACACATGTACACATGAAATTGATTTTATAAGTTAGTTGCATCACTTTTGAATACCTTTATTTTGTTATACCTATTGTTAATGTCTTAATTTTTCTCTTACTTCGTATAATCATATATCATTTACTATATTAAGGAAAAAAATATGTAAACTGCTATATTTATATATCTATTACCACTTTTTTTTAAGTAATTTTTATCTAAGAATATATAGCTATTTGACATATTTTAGGTTTATATTTATAATTTATTTTTATCAATAAACATTTTTTATATGCTTTATTTTTAGAGTTTTTATCATTTTTTTAGTTATTTGAATAAATTGGGCTTGTTACATATAAATATTTTAATTTTGTATTTTTATTTATTCAGACCTTGACTACTCTTTTGGTCATAACGTTTTCTACGAATATCATTTTTGGCTGATTTCAATTGCATTGGATTCTACACATCCATGGCTTCAAAATGCATATATGGGTCACTGGATTTAGAGTTGTTTTTTATTTTTTATGATTTTTTAAATTTGAGGCAGGTTTGCTGAATATTGTTGTAGGATTGCATTTGGATCATTGTTATTTAATAATTGTATTTGAGCTTTTAGATATTATTGAGGCCCGCTTTTTGGCCACTTAATTTACTCTAATCAGAACCTTTAAATGGACTAATAAAGTTTTGAATTGGGAAGTGATTAGACTTGAGATTTTGAGACTTGATCGAAATAAGAATATTTATTTTTACTTTCTCTCAAATTCTCTTATTCCTTTCTCATTCTTGCATGGTTTAAGCATTTCAATGGAAGGCTAAACCTCTCGTTCAATTCGTGGAATCCAAATGTCGTAATTCTGACTTGAGTTTTGCGCTAAATTGCTCTGAGTTTATTCTCTTTTCTCTCTAATCTTAAAATTGTGTATTGCGATCGTAATTGACTTTTCTGTTATTATAATTCAAATTAAGACTCGATCGATACTCTGATTTGATAATTAATACAGATTAAGTTAAATGATTATTTGATTTAATTCGTAACTCTATTAAAACATACACATATATCCCAAAAGACCAGTAATATATAGTAAGTGATCAAAAGATGAAACATTTGTGGCTTTGCAAGGACCATTTAGCATTAACCAAAAACACTTTTGTTGGTGGTATCACTAGTGTTGCTGCACTTTCCGATTCACACGTGTGTTGCCATGCACATAAAAATGCCTATAACATCAATTAAAATACATCTTATTATAAGGGTCACTCAATTGGTTGAAACCATCACAGCCTATAGTATCAAATGCATATAATTAGATATAAACTTTCCCTTAAATAGAAGAGTTAATTTTCTCATCATGTATATATAGATTAAGATTATATTATATAAAAATTGGCAATAAAGTATAAACTCATACATATACATACATGTGAATTGATAAGTTCATATTTTGATATTTTTATGACATATGTTTATATGCTTAAACCTTATTTTATATATATATTTACACTAATTATGTTATTAATTGTTGTTATTAGTGCATTATGGAGATATTTTGGAGAAAGATTAGATACTTTTAGTCCTTGTTGTGCTATGTGAATCTGAGCTTGAATTTTGAATTTAAAATTTAAACTTAGATAAAGATTTGGAGCAGTTTTCAGTTAAGATTCTGATTATAGATAAAATCGGTTTGAAAAGATAGAACTTAACCAACTGGAAACTCAAGCCATAGCCTATATAAAGAGCCCTTATGCTCCACGCTTGAGACACTTGAGAGTCCTTAGAGACCATTGGCAAGGACAACGAGGTTCGCCTTGGAGTCCAAGCAAGTGATTGAGCACCCTTCGGAGAACGAGAACTCTCTTCGTCTTTTACCTTTAGCGGGTTTCTTTTGTTTTAGTTTTCCTTTATTGTTATAAGTAACTAAACCCAGAGCTAGGGCAATGGTAGATCCTATTGCAAATTTTGTATGATTTTTACTTTAATGTTAATATTGGTTTTCCTTTAATGTTTGGTTCTTATTCTATTGCATTACATTGTGTATGTTAAGATATGATCACCCTTAGCATCCTATGGTTAGTTGCTATAACGCCTTATATTTCTTTTCTAAATATATGATAAATTTTCATAAAAATATAAATGACAAAGTAAATTTTCTTTCAACAATTCTCTAATGAGAAAGAAACAATGAAATGATATAAGGTTCATAGAGTAAAATTTCATTAATTCATGAGTATTTTTAGAAAAACAAAGATCCTAAAATTTTCATCAGCAACAAAAAGAAAGAGTAGTTTTACAACTGTTTCAAAAGGATGCTATAGAACTAAGAATATCCATTACATAACTCAAAATAACAAAGTCCTATAGCAGTTCTCATCCATCCATGCACTGTGAGCCTAGTACTATTCGTCCTGGTTTCCTGAAAAATGTCGTGTAAGGGTGAGTCTCTACCCTACCACTCATACATCACACATATTCATCACAAAATACATCTTATCACGATTAAAGAAAACATCATGACATTACATATCACAGTATCATATAAAGCATGTTCCCATCTCAACACGTATTCCACAGATTCACAATTTCTTTTTCTTTCTTTTATCCGCGCTCTGTGGCCACAGTTATTCGATGCCTCTATCCCGAGGTCTTACACATCCATGTAAATAGTTGCCGGATGGCCCAATGCAATACGGATACAACGCATGCAATAGACATCTCCTTAGCAAAGGTAATGGTTAGGAGTCAAGTCAGGAAACAAGTGTGTGGCCATGTGGTGCATTCAAACACAATATTCTGTGCACAATCCTGAATGTCACTCACCACCCTTCATTTCCCCAAAATATCCCATATCGTCTCCATCTTCCACTCCCCTAGTGTATCTCTGTAACTATTTACATCATATCCTTTTTCCATCTCATACTCTTTCAAATATATTCACATGTTCACATATGTCATTTCTCATGTTCACACATATTTTTCATCATATTTCCACATACTTTTCATCATATACATCAAACCATGGCATATTCACA